AAATCAGTTAAACCTCAATATTTTGAAGTTATGAGATGAAATACATAATTGTAGTAGTCTTAATGGACTACTTTTTCAAAAATGAAAAGCGGAAGGTTAGCTGGACGCCTTGAAATTCCGAAAACTGCTTCAAAAGATAATTCAGTTCCTGGTTCGACTTTGATACGATATCTTTGTACCATACAAACTAAATATAAAAATAATTCCACGTAGGCTAAACCTTCACCTGGACAGTTCCTTTTACCAGCACTGAAAGGTATGAGACAAGGTGGTTTTACTGCTTTAGAACCATCTTCAGTAAGGTAACGCGTTGGATCAAATTTATCTGGATTAGGCCATAAATTAGGATCATGATTAACTGACCAGAAGTTGAACATCACCAACGTATCTTTAGGTATGAAGTGATTACCAATTTTGGTATCTTCAGATGCTCTTCTGAGTAAATTATTTGCAATGATTGATTCAATCCGCTGAACTTCATGAATAAATGCCATTGTAAATGGCATTCTTGCTCTATCAGCAAAATCTGGTCTGTTTTCAAATCCAATAACATCAGCTATCTCTGAACGTATTTTGTCTTGATATTCTGGGTATTTTACAAGGTATAATATTGCCCATTCCATAGTACTGTACACAGTCTCTGAACCAGCTCCGAAAAATGCACCTGCATTTCGCTTCAATGTATCAAGGGTGAAAGTATCTTCAGGAATGTTCTGTTTCTCTCTGTTTTTCCTCTCCTCCAGGTAACCATCGATGTAATCGACGACTTCATGATTGTTATTATGTTTCTCTCGGTGTCTGTCAACTTCATCTTGAATGAATTTCTCAACAATCATGAGATTTTTTTTGTATGAGGTGAACATCAAACTTTCCAACGCAAGACTAATACCTTAGTTAACCACAGGAAGAAATGCTAAGATACCGGCGAATTTGAATAAACGAGTAAAAGCAATTTGAGCTCGGTCCATTTCGATTTTAGCAGGATCATTGTAATCATATTTATGACCAAATAACAATATCGCAATGTTATTAGAAATTGATGGACCGATTTTTTGACTAAAATCAACAGGTTTACCATCAGTATCCAAAGTTGTTAGAAACTGGTCAATCTCTTCTTTGATCAATGTTTCAATTTTATTCTTCCCCAAACCAACATCACGCAGAATGCGTAATGATAAACGTTTGTGTTGACGCCAAGGATCTCCTGACATGTCCGAAAATGCTCGGTCATCACCACCACCAGGAACGAGTTGTTCATATGGTCTAGCAAGTAAGGCATCATTGGCAACAGCATCTTTCATGTGAGGCCAGTCACAAACACAGACCACATCGTAATCACCCAATTTTAAACAATAAACTGGTCCATACTTTTTAGACAATTGGTCAAATTTGAGATAAACATGATCTTCAAGAAAAGGCAAATAACCAACAATGGGAAGACCCCAAGGACCAGCTGGTAATTGATAAATCCTTTTTATTGTGTAAAACAAATACTTTACCAACCAGAAGAGGGCAACTCCAATCAATACGTTCAATAAAGGTTGAGGCAATTGAAAATTAAACAGTGAAAACATAACTTGTTAATAATTGTAAAAAGATTGAAAGCTTGAACGTTGAAATGATGATGAATTTAGCTTACGAAAAATCAGGTAAACAACTTTTTATACTGAGTTTTCAATAACAGATGAAAAAACTGGGAAAACATTGGAATGAAAGGAGAGACTAAAGTGAATGGTTTATATATGTGGTGAACGTAACTCTCCTCTCATCTCATTCACTCAAGCCCATGTACTCGACCTTGGGAAAGATAAATAGGAGTTTCTCTAGCTTCGATAAGCCCCTGAATGCACTAGTCCTATCTTTGCTATCCCCTCTAGATAGTCAGATAATGAAAGTAAAATTCTGATTTCATCATGTTATTCAACCGTCTACCACACAATCTCACCAACGCAATATAATTGGAAGCACTAATGTTGATAACATAACAAGACTTTGTTACATGCATTTATTAATAAATCCCTCGACCCAATTGACTGAAACTGCAGATAATAGACTAAAGTAGAGTCTCATGCTATTATCAAATATATTTTAAAAATTATGATTTTGGACATGACAATCGACTGAAATTTTGATTAAATCAAATTATTCATCCACAGCTTCAATAAAACGCTCTCTTTTTTTACCAGTTCTGGACCAGTCACAGGATAGACTCTAGTTAAACTCTAGAAAATGAAATATTGACTATTAGACCAAAATCTTAGTCCAAGATTAGATTAAATCATCTTTCAAACAATTCGACAAACACAGGACTTTTCAACTTGGCCCATAATCATCACCTTAAGTACCAAAGCACAGCATGATTATCAAATACAGATATCATTAAGCATTAACTGCATGTTATTATTATGTTTACAATTAAAGAGTTTTCGTCGAGTAATTCAGATATCGATAAAAGCGCAACATTGTATCTTGACTAAGTTTCCCTGAAAATTTTTTCTTGTTTACTTGACAGCAAGATGAATTAGTCTAATCAAATTGAAGGTAAAAGTCCAACAATGAACAATGTAATTGTACATAATAAAGCAAAATGGATTGGAGATGAATGTAATGGTAAAAATACAAAATAAGATTTGCGATGAAGATTTAACAGAAAGATTCAGTAAATAAAAAGATTCAAGGTTTTTAGATAGGTGAGTGATGTGTGAGAAACGATAATAGGCTTTCATGATGAGCAAATTTTGAATAGCATTGCAATTTATTTGTATATTGAATGATGAAATGTAAATTCAACCGATTTGATACATTAATAAATTAATTGGTTGGCTCAAATTCAATTTGGTCGTTTCATTTATAATTTATTTGTTGCATTGATAAGTATTAAAGTAATACTTGTCACAAAGGTTTATGCAAATCAGATCAGAAATTATCTTTCAGGACTCAGACTATTGTACTCAGGCGATTCTTTGATATATTTCCTGTCATTTTGAGCGCTTTAGAGTAACATGAAATATTCCGCTCATGCAATTGTGTTACTGTATGATATATCATGATAGGAAAATTATTATATAATAATGCGATCAAAAAGAATAATAAAAAAACAAAACTTTAAATATTAATACATAATTTTATTGTAATTGTGATCATAATTACAATAAGATGAGTAAAGTGAGATCTTTACATATGGCAGAGTATCACATACAAATTTGCATACTTTACAACAATTTTAAAAACCTAAATTTAGAGATTGGACCAGAATTTAATGATTCCATATCTTTGGCTTAATTTGTTTGTTTATTTGGTTTCCATCTTTTCAGTTTGAGCTTTATCACCACTTTCAACTGGTTGATGAACTTGGTTGGTCAATGTAATTGGAATCTTCTTTTCTCCTGTAACAGCATTTGACAACCTTCTTTGGAGCCTTGATTGAAAGTACACCATCAACTCCTAAATTTGACTGAAGTTTCTCCAATTCCACATTCTCTGGGAAGAACATATCGCCTCTTGAAAC